CATGATAAGAACGCTGAAGTTGGATCTTAAGTAAATGGGAAGCCACTGAGGGTTTCAAAATGAGGAAAAAATGACATCCCAAATGCGTCCTTAAAAAGTTACTCTGGTCTCCACATAAAGAACAGCTTCTGTGTACGTGTATCTGTATGTGTGTATTTTTTTCCACCCAACTCCTCTTCGTTTACTCTCTGACCATTGAAATTATTCACCGACAATATCACTGTCCTCTTCAAACCCAGGGTCTGTTCCCTCATTGACTACAAAACATTAGTCCCATTCATACTCTGCCCCATCCTGTAGGTCTCCCTAAATACTGCCTGGATCCCATGGGAAGCATCTCTTATGCTCTGCCGTGGATTCTGCACACTGTTTTGTATACCATTCTGCCTTGAGTGCTGATTTCCATAACTTTCTTCCCATGAGACTCTGAGCTGTCTGAAGGAAGTGATCCTTTGTATTTCCTGTGGCTACCATATAGCAGGTAGGCTGATACCATGTGGGAGGTCTGAATGGAGTTCTGAGCTCCTGCCTTTGACCAAAACCACCCTGGGCATTTGGAAAGCAAATCAGAGAAAGGTTCTCTCTGTGTCTTCCCTTTTTGTTGTCACTATGCATTTCAACTGAGTTTCCAAGGTAAATCCTAAAAGAATATTCATTTGGTTACTTGTAATAAAAGATGAAAGTCATTAAATGAGCAAGTTCATAAAAACATTGCTCATTTATCTGTGATGCCATAGATGTCAGAATAAGCCCAGTGCAAAGAGTGAGAACAGGAAGGGAGAGTTAACAAGACCCCACAATGTGCTTGTGAAGATCCCAGCAGAACTGAAGTCTGGAGGCAAGGACGAGGAGCTGATAGAGAACTGATGGCAAAAGGTGAATCAAGTAACTAACTGTAGTATGGGATCTGAAATGGGAGTCATGCAACCTAGCTTTTGTTTCAGAGGGATCGCTCTGGCAGGGGTATGATTGATCACAAGAAAGAGAGCCAGTCAAGCAGCCAAGGGGCCTTTGGGATGCTGCAACAGCGATCTGTATAGGATGGGGCAAGAGGGCAGATGACACAGGGGAGAATAGCAACATACAGGAGAGGGCAGGTGGCAGGAGTGTTGGGATACAGAGTATATAATGTTTGGCATAGGGAGGGGGCCAGACAGGGCACCAGGGGTGAGTTCAGATGGGCTAGGAAACCATGTTTCCTCCAGTTGGACCAGAAGGTATTGGACAAGTTTAGGGTAGTGTGATGGTTTCACTAGTGAATATGCAGCAGCTGAGGGAGTGGTCGACCAGGTAGAGCTGTGCAAAAGGGAGTGAGTAGCACAGTCCTGCAGCTCCTTTGAACACCTCAGTATGGGCGAAAATAACTGCTTTGCCACTGAGTGAAAAGTAAATGATGCCCAAAATGGAGGTGATACCTAAAGAGGGTGAAGAGAAGTGCAAAGTGCCAGAGAAGGATTCTGAGGAGTTCCTAAGAGGACCTCTAAAGGAAAGGACCAACTCAAAGGATGCCGGCATCCCATCTGGGCATTTGAGTCCCAGCTGCTCCACTTCCAATCCAGCTCCCTGTTCATGGCCTGGAAAAACAGCAGCAGACTGCCTGAGCACATGGACCCCTGCTGCCTATATGGGGCAGCTCCATAAAGCTCCTTGCTTTGGCCACTTGGATGGTGAATGAGCATATGAAATATTATTCTCTCTGTGTCTTTCCTTCTATGTCTGTAGCTCTGACTTTCAAATAAACAATTAAATAAATATATATATGTATGTATATACATATATATATATATATTTCCTGCCCCAAGCTGGGCAGGGGTGATACATCCATGGGCAAGGAAGCCTGGGAAATGCAGCATGTCACTTAACTGCTATGCATCCTGATAAAGCCCAGAGACCACTAGTGCAAGCCAGAAGAAAGGGAGGAGGTACTAGAAGCAAGCACAGTGAGGGGCAGGGGTTGCTTTCTCTTAAGTCCTTTGCCGACATCTGCCTCATTGAAGCAAGGAGAGCTCTCATTCTGAGACCTGAAGACATGGGTGGGCTGCTGCTTCTGATGGGGTAGCTCCTTGAGGAGGTACCACAGAGCATGGGGTCTGTCCAAAACACACTGGACCAAACTCAGTTAAATAGCTCCTTACCTCGGTGATCATCTCCCCTGCCTACATCCCTCCTCTCGCTGCACAGTGCCATTCAAATGTTGAGACTGCACAATGTGAAGCATAGTACCTCTTTCTGGTAAAGACTCAAGATGTTACCACTCACCTTCCCTTTCTCCCCATTCTCAGAGGGCACAAAGCAGGAGGACATACACAAAGCTTAACATCAACAGCGGCTGCACCCCAAAAAGTTGGCTCTCTATTCACCATTCTCCAATAACCCTGACATCTAGCTTCAGTGAAACTGGTGCTGTGATACCGGTGTGACACCTGTCACATGTATGTTTCTAGGTGGAACAAAGGCTGCTGAAGTCAGCTAAGAGAAGCACGCTCAGGGAGGTTTCCGGTTCCAGAAATGGCCGGTGGCAAAGGCTTGTAGAGAAAAAGCATCCTTTGAGAGATGCAAACAACAACTCAAAAGCATGTTGATAAAGGTCAGAAAACATCATATTTACTCACATTCTGTACCTGTAAAACTAGAAAGGAGGAAAGGCAGTAAAAAGGAAGCCTTTCCTGAAAGCCACAGGGCAGCTCCACCCTCTCATGGTTGCATAAGAATGATTGTATTTTTGTCAGGTTTTGAACCTTTCCCTCCCTCATCTTCAGAAACTTAGAGATTACCCTCTAGGCTAATTATGGGACAACAAAAGCAACCTGGAAGGTCTAAAAGAATGCATCAGCAACTGGAGAGGTTACCAGGAGTAACAAATTACCCGAGCCAAAGGCTCAGGAAAGAAGTGGCAGGGACCCCACCTTCCAGAGCGGGGCCATTGAAAGTCAGTCAGTGCAGAACCTCTAGGACCAAGGTCAAGTGTGAAAGTGACAAGAAACTTGGGGGTTAAAATAAAAAATCATTAGTATATTGCATTTAAAAAAGAAAAGATCTTACTGGGGCTGGCACTGTGGCACTGGCAACCCCACTTCTAATCCAGCTCCCTAATGGCTGGACAAAGCAGTGGAAGATGGTCCAAGTGCTTAGGCCATTGCCATCTACATGGGAGGCACAGGAGAACTCCCAGCTTCAGCCTGGCCTAGCTCAGGCTAGCAAAGCCTTGTGCGGAATGAATGAGCAGATGGAAGATCTCTTATATGTATAACACACACACATACAAGGAGTGAATGAGCAAATGGAAGATCTCGCTCTCCATATGTATGTGTGTGTTATATACACATACACATATATATGTATGTATATAAAACACTGACTTTAAAATAAATCTTTTCAAAATGTACATATTTTACTTATCTGAAAGGCAGAGAGAGTACATGCTCTCCCATCAACTGGTTTATCTCCCAAAGGCCCAGGAGCCTGGAACTCAATCTGAGTGTCCCACATGGGTGGCGGTGGTCAAGGCAGTTGGGACATCACTGCTGTCTCCCATGGCATTCCTTAGGAACCTGAGATGAGGAGCAGAGGGGCGTCTCAAGCGCAGCCTCTGCAAAGGAGGTGCAGATGTCCCAAGCAACATTTCACCTGCTGTAACAAATGCCTCTCCCACAAGTACATTTTTTGTGCATTTGTTCAAATAAAAGTATCCAGTGAAAAACACCTACTGCTAATTCTCATCTAAGATTCAAAGCTAATTTTCCCACTGAGAGAAGAAACAAAGTAGAAAGGCAAAAATATGGTCTTGAGCCTGTAGAAAGCCTTAAGATGAAATTTCTAATGAGAAGTTTGAGGCATCATTTATTTTCCTCTATCAGAAATTCCAGCTGGGGAGGGAAAAAAAAAATCTGGAAGAAAAGAGAAAGAATTTGCTAAACATAAGCCTAATGTTTTGAAAACCAATGCACAAAAATAATCCAAAGTCAGTCAGACTTCAGTGCCAATGTCTCAACAGTAGAGCAACAACAAAAGGAAAAGATGAGTTTTCTCCAAATAGACATTGTGTCCCAGAAAAATATGGATTGGATTTGCATGCTTGGCATCATTTTTGCCTCAGAAAAGAAGCATCTCGGATGCTTTTGGAGGCATCTCTTACAAGTCACCTGAGTTGGTTCTGTTTCTATTTTTCCACATTGATGCACCACTGCTCACTTCCCACTGTTTACTAGACAATTTATGATCATTCATATTCATTGCAGCTTGCGCAACCAAACCATTTCATGGCACACATCACTGTAACAGAACTCCCTGTGGAAACAAAATGAGGTGCAAATCTTCCAGTTCTACGCTCTTACACAATGCTGTGCCATTTAACAAACACACTACCATTCCACACAGATTTGCAGATCTCAGGGTGAGGACGGCAGATACTGCTTTACAAACTAAGAAACGATAAAGAATAAGGGATGACAAAGAGTAAAGGAGAATGAACAAAAGGAAGAAAAAAATGAAGAAGGTATCGCTTTTCGAATCCAATGCATTGAGGTCAGGAAAGGGATGAAGTTCACCTGCTTTAGAGACACTGAGTGCACAACTAGAAAGTTCCATGGCTGTAAGATCAAGTCAGATACACCCAGGTCTAATTTTAGTTCCACTGCTAATGTGACTTCAAGTGGTTACTCTGAAGGTTGGTTTCTGTAAAACAAGCTTACAGGTTTTACACACTACACTCATTTCAAACCCTGAGTTAGTACACCCGCAGTAACCTCGTAGCACTGCTTGTCAACATGTTAGAGCTTTAACTTGCAATGTGGATACAGGCAACCATGCAAGATAAGCCCGGATGATTGGCATCTCTCAGAGTTGAGTCATTAGATAATAATAAGTAACTGCCTTATTTGTCATTCTTTTCTCTATCAGCAATGCTATCATTTTGAATGAGCCAAAGAAATCAATAAAAACCACACTTGAGTAGCCTCATGTACTGGTTTTTGGCAGATTGTGAGCAGAAAACATGTTACCTTTGCTGAATGCTCCATGGTGACCACCACTTTGGTTTTGGCACTGGACACCAAATCCATAGCACCACCCATTCCTTTCACCATCTTCCCCTACAAAACAGAAACAACAGTTTGTAAATCATCTTGTAAGACTAAGCCCCTGGAATAATTCACAAGAAAAACTCATTTGCCTTCATTACTTAATATTGTAAAATAAGTCTGGTGTGCTAATATTTTGTGTTATAGAAAAACCAATTATTTTATGATAGGAGGATAAAGTTCAGGATGATATAACTTTTATCAAGTGTGGCTCACATGGTTTTGTCAATGACATATTTGCAATAAGACCCATATTTTCAATGGGCGAAACAAAAAATTAACAACCTTTCCAAAGTTCTGGTACATTATTACCATTCCAAAAATATCAAATCAACTCCAGATACCTCTAACATCCATTCCTTTTTTAAAACACATAATTGACACCACTGAGTCTTCAATTACGTACAACCTAAGCTACTCCCTCAGATTTCTTACAGAATTAAGTGCCACTAGGTAGTAGGTTGAGGCACTGATGGTTTTTCTCTAGCAATGATTAATACAAAAGGTGTATCTAACACCTGGCTTTGAACTTGCTCTTGGAAAAATAAAACAAAAATGTAAAGCATACTCCTGTTAAGCAAAAGCAGGAAACAGACAGAGATTTCAGGATCCTTTCAATATTACCATTCTATTTCTGCTCAGCTGTCCAGCCCCTCATTCATTATACACTTGCCAACCATCTTCTATGCTTCACATACTCAAAAATTCCCACTGTCTATTCTGTCTCCTAGTTACAGAGTTTTAGAAAAGCAAATGCTTCCAGAGGTGATGAAATAAATTCTTCTTCAAGTACAGTGAAGGGGAATATCTTCTAACTTTACAATCTCCTTAAAGCATTTTTTTGGTTCAAGTCCTCTTGATGATTTGATGGTATACTCTTAAAGGGTTCACAGCTCACTTCCTATAATTTCAGAGCTACATGGAGATGAGGAAATGCACCCTCAACTCCAGGCTTTGAAACACGACCTTGTATGCCATTATTTCAGAGATGATTTCGAAGTCAATGCAATATACACCATGAACATTAATTAGATGAGTAGCATATAGCTAAGAAGTAGATAGCCATAACAGCTTGGTGGTTTGAAGCCTACCACCAGATAAGACAGGCTGCAGCGGCCACAGGTGAAGGGCGTGCCAGGCAGTAAGCAATGAGGGTACAGAATGAGCCTGGTTTCAGATATGGAAGTTTGTGCTGAAGCAGAATATGCATGTGAAAAGGAGCGATTTTAAACTTGTCTAAACAATGTCTTCATCTTTAGTCAACTGCAACTTTAATCATTTGGGCATCAAGTCAATATTGCTGCAGAAAGCATTGACATTTTTATGATATGAAATATGGATTAGGAAGAGATAGAAGCAATGAATGTCTATCATAAACTCCAATATTAAATTCTGAGTTTTTAGAACATCCAAAGACATTCACCTGCTCCATTACAAAGCATCGCAACTTGTAATGCTATCAATATGCAGACAACCTCAGCTTCCACATACAGCACCCTTGGGCAGAGACTATAGGGGTTAGTATGTTAAAACGTTTCTTGATTTAAAATATGCTATAAGCAACTCTTGTTCCCTATGACTCAGTGATTACATAGGTAAAAACGTAAAACAGCTTGTAACAGGAAGCTTGTCTGATTTAGGTAAATCCAATGTAAACATTTAAATCACAGGAAGTTAAAAAATATTTATAGAGTGCCTACTGGGCACAAGATATTGTGCTGGCAGGAATATGAGGTATTATAAAACATGATGGAAAAACCACTTTCTTTGCATTAAACATTTTTGCTTGTCTCAATAGAAATGAAAAGCCTTCATCACTCAAGGAGATTCAAAGGGTCGTACGTCTTAGCTGCATATTAGATACTGAAAATCCAAAGTTCTCTTACGATACTTCAATATGTGTTTCCAAGATCAAGAAATGCAGAAATCCAGCAATCTGGCTTGTTAATCCACCATGAAGCAGGGACAAAACACCCAAAGTACTAAGTAATGTTTATAGAAATGTTCATTTATATTGTCATTCAATAAGTCTAACAACTGAATGTTGCGTATAAACTTGGAGTCAGGGTGTATACACAAAAGCTCATAGTATGGGGAAGGAAAAGCATGCAGGAAAACTTGGACCAAACTTCCTTCCCCTATAACAGGGATTCATTCCTCCCTCATCCCCAAAGTAAAGTACCTTTTCCCCACACCCTCACATCACACAATATATAATTTGACCACAGTGAATTGTAGCTTTTCACTTTCTTCCTTCCTTCTCTCCTTCTCCTTCCATTAGAAGTATCTGTATAAGTAAATTAAATTAATTTAGGAATGTTCAAGTTCTAGAAAAACACCGGAGAGGCAACTGCTAAATACCTGGGGAAACAAGGACGGAAGGATGAGGTTCAGGACAGGATTCACAACTAGAGTTTCCAGCCAGCTTGCCAGGCTGACAGAGCAATACTGCTAAGTGGAAGAACCACAGAATCTCCTGATGGAAATCTTTGTGGCAGCTCAAAAGGCAAGCCTTCTAACACATTTGGTTTCCATTACATTGGAAACAAAATGTTTCTTCAGTTTCCAAAGGATTTCTTCAGATTTCCAAAGATTGATTCCAAAATCAATTACTAATGGAAGATAAATCATTCTGTCCACACCAGTAGACCAAAAAATGGTGTCATATAGGGCACTCACTGTGATGTGAGCTAGCCATTTCATCACTCTTCATGCTATTTTAGCAGATCCCAGAGATCTTTTAAGATCTTACTGCTAACATTGCCCGTCTCTCCATTACTGTCAGGAGTAGCCATGTGCCTAAGTTCCCGACAGTGTTTTAAAGCAAGACAATCGTGATTTCTCAAACACTGATCTATAAGAATCTGTAACATGTGATCCTTTGTGTTTTTTACCTTCTGCAATCTGGATGTCAGCGTCCATGGTAACCTAGAATATGGCTGAATCTCCCTTGGTCTGGGTCTTTAAATGACTACACACAGCAAGGCTTAATCAGATCAGCCTTGAACTACTTCATGTGTGTTATAAATAAACATAAAGGGTGCAATGCCACTGGTACTGGAAGACTTATCTGTTACAGTAGCTAGTCACTGATAAAATGATTTGGTGTTCAACTGAAACACAAGGAAGGGATATGATTAAAAGTGGGGAATGAAAACTCAACACTACAGCAGTAAAGCAAGGAGGGCATTGGGGGACAGGGACACTTTATTGTTGCTCCTCGAGATCAGTGACAAGAAGTAAATATTCTTCTAAGCACCATGATTTTCTGTCTGCCTACATGTGCAATACTTTGCAGAGGCACAATATGCTTGCTAAGTGGCTGAATTTGTGAGAGAGTAAGGGGATGAGAGACAGCATCACCAGTTAAGGGAACAACAGAAATAGATAGATAGACTTAACAATCATCTTTATCTTTCTCCTGCAGACCCAACATACTATTCAATATGCAAACTGAGAAACTGGGAAAACAGGAAGGTTTCCTTTAAATAAGTCGCAAGAGGGGTGGTGATACAGAGGGGAAGGAGACTATCAAGAAGAAGGGTATCTAGGCCAGCGTAACACAAGCTGGCTTTCTTTAAAATCTCACCAGCAAACACATATCTTGCATGGTGCAACTTTACCTCTGAAATGTATTCTATCTTGCATGATGGAGAGATGTGTGCTGGGTGCTCATTTCTCAATAGACTCATCCCTTGTGCAGTAAAGGACTGACCCACTTATCAAGTACAGAGAAAATACTGCAATACAATGAATGAGAAATGCTGCCTGCCTACAACACCAGTATTCCACAACTTTCTCGATATAACACTGATTCAAGTATTACCCTCAAAACACAAATACGTACCAAGAACCAACATGAGAATTAGAAAAGCAGAATAGCATCATCTATCTTTTTTCTAGAAGACAGATTTAAATTAAAATCAGCATTTTCAACATATTCACATACTCTGATCCTTTTTCCTAATGTAAAATATAAAGTAAATAAAGTGAAACTCTTAAAGCAATGGCATTAAAAACCCAGTACATCAAAGTACAAATATTAAAATGCACTCACAGAGAAAGAAACATTAATTCAAGTTCTAAACATGACCTTTGGTGATATTTTTAAGGATTTTACAAAAATATAAAATGGATTCATTTAAACACTTCTGTGAAACGCTACTTAAAATATAAAACACACTGACAATCATTCTTGCCACCACTTTTATCTTTAGTACAAAGCGCAATGACTCATTTCCAGAAATTTGTTACCTTCAAGTATTCTAGTCTTTGGCGAGAAACAATTTGTAATATATAGAAACACTGTTAGAGCATTTTCAAGTAACGCTATGTGCCACACTGGAAAATGTGAATAGAAGTAAAAAAGGAAAGATAACTGTGGAGTGATTAATAAAACTAGGGCTTGTGGCTCCATATTAAACCCCAGGACATCAAGTTCCCACCTTGACCCAAATATAAGACTGCTTATTTCTGGCTTCCTCATTAGGAAACCTGAGAAAGAAAGTGCCTCTACACATGTTCCTTACTAGAGTCAAAGAAACTAAGAAGGATATCAGTAGCATTCCTTTAAACAAAACAAGTCCTAATTCCTTTCTTGGAGGAGAAAAAAAGATGGACAACTTGCCTTAGTGTTGTGGCGATACCTCAATCATAGGATATTTCTTCTCTTCTGTTTTATACATTTAGTTTCAAAACAAAAAATAACGGTCAATACCAACACGGAGGAGCCTCTGTTTGTGTCACTGGCATTCCACTCGGACTGAATCCCTGTAGCTTTTCAACAGTTAATCAGCTGATGAAGAAGTGGGCCCCTTAGGGGTTAACCACACTCCTGAACACATCCACTGCAGGTGTTTTGCACCTGTTCCATATGGCTCTTGAATCATGTGTTTCCATGATGCAGTCCTGTACTGGATCTGTCTGTTCCTCTGGAGACCAATCTCCTTCTTAGCATCCTCTTCCCCATGTCTCCTCTGGAAATTAGCCACATGAAGCACTATGGCCTTGAT